CCCTCGTCTCTCCGCAGACCTCAACGAGTGCGAGGTGTACAAGAGGGAGGGGGGTCCCCGGCTCTGCGCCCACGCCTGCGTCAACCTCCCCGGCTCCTACCGCTGCGCCTGCCCCGCCGGGTACGTCCTCCTGGGCGACGGCAAGAGCTGCGAAGGTGAGGGGGTCTGGAAACATGTGGGTTTGTCACTTTTTCCCAACAGGCACAATTGCTTTTTTTTTTCCCCCCTTCCCCTTTTCTCTCCTCGTTTGCAAGCATCTCCACATGCAAAAGTCTCAGCAGGTTTGCACAGAGAGGTGGTTCCCGCGCTGGGTGCCAAGGGGAGGAAAATGATGGAGGTTCAAGCGCTGGCAAACACACGCAATCCTTTGGGGCTGCATCTCGTTGAAAAAGAGCACGGGAGCCCCGCTGCAGTGGTGGAGCTGCCCCCTGTGAACAGGGCGTCCCCGAGTAGAAACACAAAGAGCGTTAAAAGTCAAGAATTAGGTGGCAAAGGGTCAGCTCGGAGGCCGGCAGCTTCTCCTCCTAAAACAGGGGAGTTGGGGTGCGGGTTGAGAACAAAGCAAAGCAGCAGTGGTTAGGGATGGTGGGTGGCCAGAACTGTGCATATGAAAGTCTCCTCCTGTAAACCGGGGATCTTTTTCATGCTATAGTGTTGATTATTGCAGTTCATGGTGAGAAAGCTCAGACTTTCTCCTTTTCTCCCCGATTTCTGCATGTTTCATAGCATCTTGCTAATGCTCCCAGCAAATACCTGCATTCAAAGATCCTGAGTTTATTGCCAGGTATCTTAGTGGTCACGATGGTGTTTAGTAAATAAAAAGAGATGGTGTTTTCAAACAACTTAGCAGAAAGTTAGGAAAATAAACTGCCCTCCTGTTGTGAGAGCGCTGCTTTAACCCTTGCTGGCCCAGGGCAGAGCTTGGGGAGCGGAGAGCAGGCGCAGATTGGGATTTTAGGCAACTTAAGTGATTTCAGCCATACTCGCATACTTTTTTGATCATATTTGATGTCTGACCCTTTTCAAGGTTCTTTTGCCTAATTTCCATCAAAAGGAACCCCTCAACGGGGTCAGTTTGAGCTCTCTGGTGGGCTTGACCCACTGCCTGCCCCTGTTTTGCAGACATCGATGAGTGCGCCCTGTCCCAGGACAACTGCACGAGGGGGACCACCTGCATCAACACGGGGGGCGGCTTCCAGTGCGTCAGCCCCCAGTGCCCCCAGCCCGCTGGCAACGTCACCTACGTCAAAACATCACCTTTGTAAGTGCAGCGGGGTGCAAAACCTGTCCTTGCTTTGTTTTTTTGGGTGCTGGGTCCCAAAACCACGTGCATAGCATCCACGCAGATCCAGTGCCACCGAGGTTGGGGACATGGACCCTGTATCCCTGGGGCTCCTTGAAAGCCTCCCTCCCGCTTTTGCCTTTGCAGCCAGTGTGAGCGCAACCCCTGCCCGATGGAGAGCCTTTTTCGGGACCCGACAGCCTGCGCTTCGGCATTGTGGGCGGCAACAACCGTGGCCACTTCGTGATGCAGCGGTCAGACCGGCAGACTGGGGAGCTAATCCTGGTGCAGAGTCTCAAGGGTCCCCAGACCATCCAGGTGGACGTGGACATGTCCGAGTACCTGGACCGTGTCTTCCAGGCCAAGCACATGTCCAAAATCACTGTCTTCGTCTCCGCCTATGAGTTTTAGGGGAAGCGGGAGCAGGGACAGTTTCCCTGATGACGACTGTCCCCGCTTAGCATCCTCCACCCGAAAGCGCTAGCCCTGGAGGCAAGCATGTAATGGGAGCTCCAGGTGACATCCCACGCTGAAGCCTCTCTGCAGCCAACCATCCTCCCCTCTGTGTTAAGGTTATTCTGCCCAGGCAGCTTTTACACCCACCTATGTGGGGGGAAAAAAGCAAACGAGATGCAAAATAAATCGGGTGAAGGGGTTACCCGCTTGCTGGGGCGTGGGAGCAGAGCATCATCCTCAGCTGAGGCTCCAGAATGACGATGTTCCGCAGACTCGGCACCTACACAGCACAGAAAACAGTGGATAGAATCCATGGCCCCTTTTCCTTTTAAATTCCTTTTCTTTCCTTTAGGAAATACGTTAAGCTGGTGCATGCAGGAGGAGGGAGGCTCATAGGGGCTACCGCGCTCCTCCCCGCTGGCCCGCGCTTGCTTGCACTGACCCCAGCCCTGTAGAAACATGGCTCTGCTCCCCTTGGGATGCCGAGAAAACCCAAGGCAGCCTGAGGGGAGGGGTCTGGTCCGGCATCTCAGTCCCCCAGGATTGACTGGGAACGGAAAAAATCCCTGAACATCCATTCTTACAAGATGTGGGTGGGCCTCAGAGCCCTCCTTGGCAAGCAGGACGTTGCTGCTGGGTGAAGGAGGAGTCCCCAAGCCCTGCAGATGAGCGATGGGCCGGGGCCATCCCATGCTTCAGCCCGTGGGCAGCAGCTCCTTAAACCTCCTGAACTGGGTCGCACATGTGCATCCCCCCGCCCCACCGCGACCTCGGGGAGGGCTTCGGCTGTGCTTGGTGCTTGCGTCGAGGGAGCTCGAGGTGTGAATATTTCATTTTTTCAACCAGCCGCAGCCTCCACCCCGCAGTGTGTAAGCAGCTCCAGGAATAGGTTGGGTTCAGCTGTAATACGTGCTGGGGGGGCACACCTCCCCGGTCTTCCATTCCCCCTCAGTACCTGTTCCTCAGCCCAGCGCTTGTGCATGTTAACCACAAAACCCCGACGTTATGCATGTTTCTTCATTATGCTGGTTTTAGTACAATTAAACAATGATATAGCCTCTGAGCAGGCGCAAAGTAGCTGACGCGTGTGGCCAGGGGACGATACTCAGCCGGAGCCGTCCGGGGCGGGGAATCGGGGTCTGTGGGGCAAGAACCTGCCTCCCTTACCGTTATTTTTCTGTCTTGCATTGTTTGGAGGGGGCTGGCTGGTGGCAGGGCAGCTCATTCCCGAGCATCCTTCCCCCCAAGCATCCTCCAGAGAGCTGCAGGAAGAGGAGCCTGCTGCTGCCCCAACCCCCCCCCAAAACGCAGTGGGGCAGAGTCCACTTTGGGGGCATGGTGTGTGCGCTGAGCTGCACTCACCAAAATCCTTCCCATTCCTTGCCCCAGGGGAAGAGACTTCACAAGACCGGTCTGTGCTGCATCCTTTGGGGTATTGAGCTCTTGGATTTTTTGGGGGGTACAGCTTTTCCATGGGAGCTCAGGAGGGGGGCAGGACCTCTCCCCGCAGAACAAGGAGGGACATTCAGTGCCTGCTCCTTGCTGCTGTCGGCACAGGGCTGCCAGAGACGGGCACGGCGGATGGAGGATGTTTGGGTTGGCGGGCGCTCCATTGTGCTCCTGCAGCTGGTGGTGGTGGAGAGGGGTGGCCCGACTCCAGCGGGAGCGCAGATGCCTGCCGAGCAGCAGACCTGGGGGTTGCTGGAGATCCACAGGGAAAGACCCAAAAAGTGAGGAAAGACCCATGGATCTCCAGCACCCCCATCTAAAGGTGGGCAACCCCCAGGTCTGCTGCTCGGCAGGCATCTGCGCTCCCGCTGGAGTCGGGCCACCCCTCTCCACCACCACCAGCTGCAGGAGCACAAAGCCCAGGAGGACCATCAGGAGAGGAGAAAGGAGCAGCTGGTAGGGCAGCTCAGTGCTGCCTCTCTCAAAGAATGCTGAGATGCCCTCTCCTCTCCCAAGGCAGGAGGACCTCCCTGTCCTGCTGAGAACACCCTGTTAATCCTGGGGTGGCATGGGTGGGTGTCACCATGCAGCTGGCCTCAGCAAAGGGAAGGAGAAGGCTTTTTGGACCTGGCCAGGGAAGGCCCTGCAGGAGGTTGTGCTGTGAAAGAAACTGGGTTGCAATAGGGATGGCAAGGGCCGTGCCTGGTTTTATTTCCTCAGCGTGCAGGGGGACAGATGACTGCCGAGGGAAAATGCCCTTTAAAGCTCTGTGGCATAAGAGCAGAGGTAGAGGCAGGTGCAACCACAGGCGTACGGGACCCCAACAAAGGCAAACCAGAGGGTACCAGGATATGGGGAGAAGAAAAACACATGGAGAAAATTTGGTCTGTGGAGGTACGCCTGAGGAAGCCCACCCTTACCTTCTCCCCCTGGGACGCTGGGGGTGAAATCCTGCACGTGCCAGCTCAGCGCACAGCCAGGCCTGCCATCGGAGGACAATGCTGGGCACCACCAGAGGAGGGACAGGGAATGGGCAGGACGCGCCACTGGACCGCTCTGCTGTGTGCCTGCATCCCGGGATGCCCCGAGCAGCAGGTGACAAGGTTTTCCTTGGAGCTACCCGGACCCCGGCCAAGTTGTGTTTCATCCAGGAAAGGGAGCAGTTATCCCTGTGAACCCAGCCCAGCGCGTGTTTCAAATTAGCGCCTTAGGTAAGTGAGCAGCGCTGCAGAGGCGGCCGGCTGCGTCCTTGTACGCCACAAAAAATCGCTGCTGGGAGCCAAAAAAATGGAGTCCGTACGAGGGTAAGTTCCTGATGGGGCAGAATAGTTTCCATCTGATGCTTTAACCGGCTAACGAGGCTGGAGACGGGCGCCTAGATCTTTGCACTGGAGGCTTTTCCTCGCAGCACAGCCCCAAACTGACAACATTTTCCTAATTCCCGAGGCCAGGGTGAACTGGTTTCCCCTCTCCGGGTCGGGCTGGCACGACGCCGGGGCTTGCAAAGCCGTGCCCATCCTCCCAGCCGCTTCTCGCCCGCCTTGAGGGCCAGGACCGGAGCTGGGAAGCTCAGCCATCTCTCCCAGCATCAGCTGGCTGCAGATCTCCCTTTCAGCCCCAGAAACGTTTAAGGTCGGCTCTCCAGTGTCTGGACTGGGCTGCAAACCTCTGGCCAGCATTTGAGCTGACTAAAGGAGATTTTCTTTTTTTTTCCCCTGCCAGAGCGGCTGCTCCAGCATCTTGCAGACTTCCTGAGCCTGGAATGTGCAGAGAGGCTCTTCTGGCCCTGGTAAACACAACTTTTCTCTGAGCTAATAATATTTGGGAGCCCAAAAAATAGCTGGTTTGCCTCTGCTCCCCTTCCACGGGCTGAAGGCAGGCGGTCCCCAGCACAGCAGACTCCAGATGTGCTCCGCGTGCCCCGGGAGGGGTTGGCCACCCTGCCCAAGCTCCAAAGCTGCCGTTTCTCACCCCACATGGCTGGGGAGTGAGGATACAAAGGCTGAAGACCTCACGTGGAGGTGGCCTTGGAGAGAGGCTATGCAGTGCCTGCCGAGGTGCCAGGAGAGAAATACGGCACCTTTGAGTTTCTGGGGTCTGTATGCAAAAGTGCTCCCTCTGCTCTTCACCCTGTGAGGGGAGACAGGCCCCAGCCTCAGGGCAGGAGCAAGAAGAGACAACCGTGGCTTCATGCCCCATTATTTTCTCCTCCTACACATCATCCTCCTCCGCAATACATTCCTGATGGGCCTTTCCCTGCCCAGCATCCAAATCCTGCGCATCCATCACTGTGCTTCTCCTCACTTCCAGGCTAACGAGATAGATCCCTGCAAACAAAAGAATGATACTTCTCTCTTCATCACACAAGAGAACATCAGGTTATTTTCAACTGCAGGTTAAAATCTGACTTTTATTACCTAGCTAGCATCCCTGAGAAGTCCGCGCCTGGTGCATGGCACATCCATGAGTGCTGCCATGTCTCCTCCCACCCCACAGATTCACATTGTGTGAATCCTTGCTGAAGCGAAAGCAAGAGCACACATGCCAAAACACTTATTAATCCTGTTACAGGCCTAATGAAGAGCTGAACCATGACATTTTTATTTGTTATGGTTGCTAGGTATGTTGCTACGCCCTCTACACCATACCCCAGATCCCAGTATATTTGTGATATCTGAGAGAGCATACTGGGGAATTCATTTAGCTGCTACTGCCAAATTTAGTTAGTTATACTTTAAAAAAAAGAGCCAGTCAGGAGCTTCTCACAAGCCTACCTTTTTTCCCTGACAACACAAACACACGTAGGGATATTTAAACAAACAGCTACTCCCTGCTCCTGCCAACATATTTTTGTTTGTTTAAAAGAGATTTTTGCACCTGCACACTGCAAGAAAAGCAGAAGCCAGGATTTTACTCTAAATTTGAAATCCCTTTTTTGCCCATTGCCTGGGGACATAGTGCTGAACCCTGTAGGTATTGGCTCCCAGGCTGCACACAACACTGAGATGCTCACATTTATGGGACTAATTAGCCTTAATTAGCCCTAATGGCCCTTACCACTCCCACCTGAGGCCACCACCCACACCTCTCCCACGCTCCCTGGAGCCCTATTTCACTCCCGAGCTGTAGCAGTGCTGGTCTCTAGCTCAGGCTTGGCTTTCTGTGATGATCTGGACCCTCGGCAGAACGTGGCTGTGATCTTCTGCCCTGCCTATCTTGCTCAGGCACCAGCCTGGTGTGTGAGACCACAGAGAGAGGACTCTTACTTTATGGTGGGTGTGAGGCCATGCTTTGCCTCTGTGTAAGGGGAAAAAATGTCTCTCCCAAAGGAGAACCGATGTGGGTGTTCTTTTTTTATTTTATTTAATTTTTTGCTAGGATTGCTGGCACTGGAAAAAGAGAGTCATACGTCCCAAAAAGCCCTGCAAGCTAGAGAGACTAGCCTGTAAAGGAAAATAAGTTGATGTAACCTTTTTGGGATTTTTCCAAAGAGCTTTGACAAAGTC